GGTAAAAAGTGCATGTACATGTCAAGTGATTGGGAGACTTGGTAAGAGCTGGTGCTTGGTTGGGTTGGAACATGGAAGGAACGCCAATGTACGAAGGCCTTTTTAGTGAAGATAAACATAGAAGTCCAAGGACAATTATTGCAAAAATGATATCAACAAAAAAAAAATGCTAAGAGGTCTCTACGTGTCATAGCTTTTACCTTAAAAGTTAAATCTTCCCACTGCTGGGCAGTTTAGCTACCTTCCATCCTGTTTTGTTCTCCAACAGCCGGAGCCAACGAAAGGTCCAAAGGTCGCGAGTCACGAGACAAACAGCCGATCCTTCATAGTTGTCTATTCCAATTCGAAGATGGATCTCTTACTTGATAAGCCATTCCATATATTTTATTCCAATTTTGGTGAAAGTATTTGATAAGCCAAAATTAAAGTGTAAAAATCTTCATCTAGTAAGGCCTTAATTTGGGAAGAAATTACCTCCATTTTACCTTCGATAATTTACCTACTTCCCAGGATGTAAAAGTTAAATTAAAAAGTACAAGACCATATTGCTTGATTGTTGGACATTGTAAAATTAACCCAAGGCTTCTTAAATAATGAATTGTCATCCCACAACCTAAAAAAAAAAAATAGAAAAAGGGAATTTCATTGCATGATTTGCATTTGTCTTCCCATATCACAGTGAATTTATTGCTGTTGCTAGACATATTGTTCACGTCGACTCTTTCCAGTCTAAAACATCAAAATTTGTCAACACCAATTTAACAAGTAGGGACAAAAGGTTAGGTTGTTGTAATTTCCTCGAGGAAATGAAAAGATTTTGTTCATGTGTTTCAACAGTTGCCAGCATTTAAAATATTTGAAGCCAGTCATTCCCCTACCTAATCTTGGGGAGGCTGTCGACTAAACTTTGATTGCTCTGCCCATCAATTGATAGCGAAATCCTCTTCATTTCCAATCACAAATTTTCAAATGTTTTTTTCATCCTAATTAAGGGCTGTTGTTATCAACAAAAAATAATAGCCTAATTTTATTTCTTTGAGAAAACAAAATGGCCATTAATAATATAATTCAAATGCTGTTGAACTTATATTTGTGCTGCTTGAGTCGTAACAGTGCCTTTTTTGTTTCCTTTTAATTCTTTGAATTGGTATATAACAACGTCAGTACTCGTCATGATAGCCTCACACTAAGAGGGTGTCCTCTAATTTTCCTTCCCCTCTTTCTTTATCAGCAGTGGCAAAGGTTATCATAACTGTTAGTTGGCAGTTTGTGGGCAGCTAAGATGAACCAAATGGTCTACCCATCTCCATGCATTTTGCCTTGATATTAATGCCCCTGCAACTTGGCTCATTAATTGGAGTAGCTATTCTAGCAAGACTAAAGCTTTTTGCCTTTTTTCCCATTTACTACAAAGAGACCAAATCTTAGTACTAGAATAACAACTTATAATAACAAGAATTACCAAATTTCTTTTAATCTTTATTTTAGGACCCCCCCAATTAGTGTTAGTTAAATAAGATCCACTCAAACTAATGCTTTTGAATTTTTTAACCTTATTATGGGAAAAATAAGACATAGACTGGAAAGTAAAAGACGAAGTGTGCATATTTTTTTTACTATGATTTCTACGTAGTTCATAGTCAGAAGAAGAAAACTTAGAGAAAGAGAGAGCACGTACAATTCCCTGATTTGAATTTTGTAGCATCAAATTCATGTTCACACCTTGTATTATATGCTGACCACGTGGTTAGACAGAAATTAAACCTAAGAAAACATTGAAAAAGTCGATGAGAGCTTCATTTCTCCTTTTTAAGTAAAACTTCAATAGATTGCTTGTTGCCCTGGAATTTAAAATTGGATTTCTACTTTTTTCCAAAATCTCTAAGTTTTCTAATATAATGAATCATAAATATATATAAATAACTCATATTAATTTAATATTGCAGTCAATAATAATATTTTTTTTGGATAAATTAATGGACACTAATGTGAAACACAATCACATTTTGCTATCACGAAAGATGAGTATAACTCTTGGGAATCTTTCACTGATCAATAGCTATATGCCTATTATTTCTTTTAAATCATGAAAACATTATGTATTTTAGATTGAATATTCGTGAATTTTTACTTATAAAAATAACTAACAATAATATATACGAGAGAGTGTGGAAAGATAAACCCATCAATGACATTATATTCAACTTAAAAGGGGTTTTAATAAAGTAAGAGAACAAGATATAATTAATTAAGCATTAACCTTTTGATTTAGTGGTGATTATAATAAGTAATGCTTTTCCATGTTAGTATTTTAACTTTTTGAATTCCCAACCCATTCACCCAATGGATAAATAAAACCAAGAAAAAGGTAAAGTTAAAGGAGAAGTTTGACATGGCCTAGTGTTCATATCAAGTAGTAAATTAATATTACATTCTAGTTAATTATCACAAAAAACCTTGCATTACGAAAATACAAAAGATCTAGAGTAGGTGAACATTGTCGACGAAATTCTGCCACTTTTTCATGCAGACAAAGTTCAACAATAATATCATAATATATAATATATGGTTCTATCATGAAATGTTTAAAGAAATGCATGGTGGGTCAATACTACTAATTCAAGTGAGATGCTAAGTTCATGAATCCCTTGATTACTGTTGTTATTTGGGGTAATGTTTTAAGAAAATAAATAAAAGGGTTTGAGAAGTACTTAGTATTAAACTCGTCGGTGTTTTTGTAAAATAAATATTGAACCTTATAATTAAAACCGAGTTTTTTTCTTTATTAATTATTATATAGTCCATTGCCCCGGTGGGCATGACTCAACTTTCAATTTTTCAAATCAATTTCCATAGCATTTAATATGTGGCAGTGAAGAAGTTATTCTTTCCCGTGACATTGTCGGGGATTTGGGCCTCACAATATTGATATAAACCTAAGTTTGCTGGCTTCATCCGCCCATCAATCATATGCCAAATTTCCAATATTTTGCCCCCTTGCATTTTCCGCGAAAGGTCATTATAATTCATTGATTCGCCCTCCATGGTGTTCCTGAGAGAAAGTTACGGCTCCTGGTGGTTGGCATTGGAAAGAAAATGTGGAGGAAAAAAGGGTCTGGCTATTCTGTTTGAACCACAAAAAAGAACAAGTGATTTTCTCTGCAATTATAGTTAAAATCTGACTATCTGACCTCCCCCGCCCCTTCTTTCTATGCTGTTTTCTTCTCCAAGCAACCCTAAAGAAACTTAAAAGCAGCAATGCAGCCTTGATGTGGTCAAAATGATGGCCAATTATTGTCTACTAATAGGGACCCCAAAATCATAAAATCAAAAGATATAGGATCGAAAGTTGATAAGAAGTATAAAGGAAATGGAAATTTGATTAATCAAAAAGGAAAAAAGGGTTTTGCTTTTATGATCATAGATTCATTTTAAAAGTATGGTAAAGTTCATATTCACACTTGAAAATCTTCGTCAAAGGCCGACAATTGTGCTGTCTGCTTTTTCTTTCTTGAAATTTCCTATCAACGCCACAAGGAATTAATTTTATTTTTTTGCCAAGAATAATTTTTTGAAAACCTATTGAATGAAATAAAATCACTCAACTAGCCAGTTAAATAGAGGATAAATCAGTATATTAAAGCTATAAGAAGACAAAAAGTTCACCACAACGAGGAGCTAGCTGGAATGCTAGATTTGCTGGAAGATATTGTCCTTTGCCAAAGTTTGTTTCTAACACGGTTTTAATTAATGGAATGGAATGCATTCAATTTGGAAACGATATAAAGTTGTCCTAATAAATGGCATAGTCGTAAATAGTTTTTATAGTTTTACAAGTTTACTCAGTTTGTCACTTAGCATGTAGAAAAATCAAGTCTCGTGAAGAAAATAAGTCTAAGTACATATATTTAATTAATACAGGGGGATTGGGGATTGGGGATTGTTTGTTAGTATAATGTATGTCTATAAATACCCTTAGAACTTCGCTTCACAATTTCACATATGCATCAGAGAGTCAGTAGGAAACTACATTTTTTTTCCTTTCTGACATATCCCCCTGGACAAGTTTCCGGCACTGTTGATCCATTTAGAGAGTGGTTTTTGATTTCTGGAAGTGAAAAGAAACCATGGGGAATTGCTTGAAGACATCCAGATCAAGGCAGCTGGTGGAAGAAGAGGAAATAGAAGAGCAGCTAGGAGAGATTCGTGAAGCAACGGGGTTTGAGAAGGGAAATGATGATAGTGGGAAAGGCAGCATAAAAGTGAAGATAGTGCTTACAAAGGTGGAGCTAGAGTGGTTTCTGCTGAAGCTGAAGAACAACAATGCAGGGAAGAGCTTCGAGGATCTTTTGGCGGAAATGGAGGAAGCCAGGTCGGGAAAAGCTGATTCTTGGAGACCTTCATTGGAGAGTATCATGGAGGACGACGACCCTGAAGAGCTTGGAATGGGCAGATCATGATGAAGCTTCAATCCTTCTTCTTACTTTTACCCCTTGTGCCTTTTGTAAACTACGACATCATCTTCTTCTCCTCTTTGAGGTTTTTGATTCCAGAACCTCTTTTTACTTGGGTAACTCGAAGTACGGCAGGATCAGAATCTCCCCTTCTTTTTTGTCTGGTCCTTTCCCTCGGGTGATGAACCAAGTTCCGAATGTTTCTCTCCCTTACTTAGCTAGGAGTTTTTGATATATATAGATTGAACTTTCTCCATTTACCATATAAACTCAGATCTTTTATTTAAGCTTTCTGAAGTTGAGTATGGATCTATGCATATGTACTTGAGCGGATGATAGATTTTAATGTTGAAT